AGTGATCACGTTAACAGCCTACTGAACTACTAGGTGTACTGAACTACAGTACACTGGCTACTGATAACGATAATAATCCTTGCATTTGATATAGCACCTTATCCGTCTTCGAGATGTCTCAAAGTGCTTCATAGAATGTGTTCCACAAACCATCGTGGATTTAAGTGACCAATTTACTATTTTTTTGAAGGAATGATTACCCCTAGAAAAGCAATCCACTAATCAACTAACAACCGGGTTCCTAGTTACTGCTAGGTAAACAGAGGCATGTGGATGGAGTAAGGAAACTTGCCTAACATTGCGCCCTGCCGGGAATCGACCCAGGTCTCTCACTTACGAGGCGAGTGCTCTAACCACTGAGCTACAGGACTGATCACTGAACTACTGGGTGTAATACATAACAAGACCAGTTCAAGGCCCTTCATTTCAGCCCATTTGTTCTCATCCTCTGTCTTTCCATCACAGCATCAAGCAGTTTTGCAAATGATTCCTGTGTCCTGGCTTCAACCACCCTTCAAGTGGCAATCTGTTCTAGTTGTTAATTATCCTTTGAGTAAACAAATACTTCATAGGGTCAGTGCTGAAATTGTCCTTTGCAATCTTAAGCCTGTGGCCTTTTGTTCTGCTCAGGACATCCAAAAGTAATTTTTACTTTTTCAAACTCATTTAAAAACTTGTTTATTTTATAAGATCCACTCTGAGATGTCTTCTTTCAAAATTGCAGAGACCAAGTACTCATAGCTGGCACAGTCTCACCTCAGTGCCAAGATTCATGGAGCAAACTTCTATCATTGTAACATCAGAATACATCTGCTATTTCAACACCACCCATTTGCTAGTAACAAGTCCCTATTCCTTCGCATATACAGATGATACTCGATGGACATGACAAACAAACTGATCATATGGCAAGTGAAGGTACCTATTGGATAAATACTAATCCAAATATGTCTTGACAATTGTCACTTACTCCATGGATTTAAACAGAAATATAAAACCTATTTTGGCTAATATCAAAGCAAAGGAATTACAATGGATTCAAGCGATACAGAATGTAATTGCATAAATATTTATCATCTCAAAGAAATGGAAAAAAATTAGTTTGTTTCTTATAATAATAATAATCCTTGCATTTGATATAGCGCTTTTCACGTCGGGAGGACGTCCCAAAGCGCTTCACAGAACACACTGTAAAGTGAATTGACTGTATATTTGTGGGCGAACGCGGCAGCCAATTGCGCACAGCAATGTCCCACAAACTGTCATAGATTGAAAATGACCAATTTATTATTGTTTTTGGTTTTGGAGGGATTATTATTAGGTGTGTGGAGTAAGGAAACTTGCCCAAGGTTTCGCCCTACCTGGAATTGAACTCAGGTCTCTCACTTGCAAAGCGAGTGCTCTAACCACTGAGCTACAGCACTGTAGGGTATGTTTTAATTGGATAGTCCAAGGCTCCTGATCATTAGTAGAAATCCAATTTCTAAGTAAACATTTGGTTAGGATGAAATTTTCTGTTACTCATGGATAATAGGAACCATTAAAGTCAGTTAATCAAAAAATAAAAATCCAGGTATTTTCAGAGGTTTTTCAGGGTCTATTTTGGGGTCAATAAAACAGGAGGAAACAGAGAGAAACACAAGGAAAAGCTTTGGGTAAATTGAGTGAAAATTGGTACAAATTCTAACACTGATTTACTGAGGATAATATCTGACTGAGCTATCCACTTCACAATTAAACCAACAGTTTCATGGCTCGCAGAACAACAATCACTGGGTCAATGTGCCAAACATTACAATCCAAGAAATTTGGTATGATGGATAACTGGCTCTCTAATGGCTCAAGAGGCAAGGAGAAAAAACATTTAGTTGGCGGAAAATAGGGAGGTGTTAGATATGGACTGAGCAAGATTAACTTGAGACATAAAATCCATATTGTAGATCAAAATTTACATTGTCTCAATTCTCAAAGACTAGTTTTCAGCTTCAGGATACCAAAGTAAAAGAGGCTTAGAACTCAAACCACCAATTAGTACCTCAACTAACCTTGAAGCAGAATGCTGCACATGAGTTTCTACAGAAGCTTATCAAGCTCTGTCCTGCTTGTATTTTGTCAGTTCTGAGATTGGTAACCAGACAAAATACTGTGCAGAGAAAGGCAACATTTTTTATTTTGGGCTGGAATGAACAAAACCTAGCTTGATTTTTATCTCTTGCTTTATTGACCACAACTAAACCATCAGCAATGAGAAAAAGTTCACAGGCAAATAGTTCTCTCCCAGGTGCACATAAAGTATGTGCAGCTCACTAGCAGCATAATCTGAGCTGGCAAAATTACATTTTATTTACTTGTACACCCAAATTAAGAAATAGACATTTTCATTTAAGTTTTTTTTTGAAAAATCAGTCTTTAAGTCTATAAAGATGACTTCTTGGACACAAACTCATAACGGATTAATAATTTCAATAATTGGTTTTATCATTTAACTGGAAATTTAGAATGGCATGTGAAAATAGTATACACAAATCTACATTATGTATAAAAAAAATTGTAGTTTGGACTGCACCATCTCCAAAATGTGTTTAAAAATTATGATACTCTTATTAACAGGATATTTTTATGATGTCTCAGTAACAGAAACATTTATAGCAGAACCCAAACATTTATACCTGTGAAAAACCCCACAATACCCCAAAACATCAAATTCTAAAGAATTTTACAATTGTGGACAAACAATTTGTCCCCCCCAAACTTCTGCTGTTGTCGATAATGTGGCAATTAAATTAAATTTGGGAGGTTGGGGAGAGTGGAAAGATGGAAAAGAGAAAAGGTTGATATAATTTTACTGCCTGTATTTTACTTTAAGCAAATAAATCTCTGCAGGAAAAAAGTAATTTAATCCTGAAAAGGATTCAAACTTCACCAACAAAATGTAATGGTTGAGCTTGATTCTCTTTTTATTTGGTTAACTACACTATATGATACTAAACTTTTGATGAGTGAGGAGTTTGTCTCCACAAATAGCTTCTCCTCCAGCTCCCGCACCATCTTGTGCGGCGTTTCTCTGGGCTCGATCCCCCCCTCTTCAACTTGTACATACTTCCTCTTGGTGACACCATCCACAGACATGTGGCCAACTTCTAAATGTAACATGGTCAACACCCAACTCTCTCTCTGCCTCACCCTCGACCCCAGGACCACTGATGTCCTGACAGACAGCCTGTCAGACATCAAGAACTGGATGAGAGCTAACTTTCTACAGTTGAACGTCAGCAAAACTTCGCCTCTGCACCTCAGGCACTGACAGCATCAGCATCCACGGATGCACACTCCACCTTACCAAGCCAGTCAGGAACCTCGACCCTCCTCTTCGACCGTGCCTTCGGCCACCCTTGCATATAGTGTGAAAGTAATGTAATTTAGTATTGCATTTTTGCTTCAAGCTTCTTTTAAAAAAAAGTTGAATTGGGTGATGTGAAGGGAATGAAACTCCAAATAAAGCAAGAGAGTGGTACAGATTTTTTTTTAAAAAGATTTTTTAGGCAAAATGTTGTGCCGTAATTCTTAGAGCAAAACTGACTTGCCACTTTGTCTGGACATTACAATCCTTTTGGGGGAGATGGCGAAGTTCATGTGCTCAAGCCTCCCCACTTGCCAGTTCACAAGCCAAAACGTGTCAAATATTAACCAGATTGTATTTTCAGTCCTATCAATCATCAGTCTAAGCTTGTCAGAAAAGATTTTTTTTTCTCCAATGAAAAAATAAGGTACACCAATTTACAAAACGATTTGTAGAAACGAAGGAAGAAGTGTTTTATTTTGTTAGTTAAAAAAGTAGAAATAAAAGTAGAATCAAATTAAACTTTAAAAATAGAGAAAGTGAAAGAAAAATACTGTTGAAGGAACTATTCTGCCTCCTGAGACTGGACTTTCTACAAATCTGCCAGATACCTAAAGCTAAATGTTGAATTTTTAATGGCAAAAGCATCATAGAGTGTTTGTTGCATTCGGTTCCTCAGAAATCAAGTTACAACTGAACAAAGTGACGGAATTTTTTTTTCCCTCCTGAGAGAATAAAAGACTCAATTAAACAATTTTTAAAATTCTCTTTCGTATACCCCAATGATGCCTGAACACTTACTATAGTCTACAATGAATTTGGTGGCAGAAGTTAATATCATCACGGTAGTGCATCAAACAGTACGCATATAAATATTGCAATCAATTTCAATAATATGCATAAAAGGAGGGAATAAGTATTATGTCAACACAACCACACCTCAATTTGCTTCTTTGGCGCAACACAACATGCTAGTGCTGCCCTTGATAGTTTACTACCAAGTGGCATTGTACCAGTGGCATTGTATATATGTACATCGTTTCACATTGCTTTGTAACATTGAAATTAAATAGAAAACCCCAACAATAAACTGCCTCATAAATCCGAACACGGTGACACAAACAATGTATTATTATCGTTATTAATAAAAGATCCATTTCGGTTTTACTCCACCATTTTCTTTCTCTCCCCCCCACCCCCATCCCCACCCCCACCCCCACCACCTTCCTCTCAGTACACACAACTCATTTCAGACTGTTTGCCCCACTCTTTTCCCCCTGGAATGTGAAACAGTTTTGACACAGAAACTGAACCGGTATCAGACAGTGCGGCTCTGACAGCGGCGACCTCAACACACAGCAGCACACACTCGCATCCACAGGCACTCACTGAGACACACACTCACTCACTCACTCACATGTACACACACCGGGGAGGGGAGGGGAGGGGAGGAGGGGGATTACTGAGGAAAGCAATACCACAATCTGCAATGCATATTCAGAAATATGCGACCGTATAAATATTGCACAACCTCCATGGCTGCTCGGTCCAAGGCTTTACAAAATGGCAAGCCCTCAAACCGAAAGCACATGCCGTTTGCACACATTTACAAGCTTGACATGATATACGTTATCAAATGCAATCGGTGTGTGAACCTTACCTGCAGGTGTTGACCCAAAGATGCGAACCACAGGCACTCTCTTCACCTCATTCTCTCTAAATTCAGAAAAACAAACATCCAGACCCTTGACAGGGCTGGACATGTAATAATCTGCACTGACGATCCTGACAGCGAACATACTGTCTCGCCCTGGGTGTGATATATATACACATATATATATATATATATATATATATATCTATATAGGGATAGACTGGAAATTAATTGTGAAACAAATTGCTGCGTAATTTTTTTTAAAAAAAAAGAAAAAGAAAGGGGGGAAAAAAAACTCTGTACACGACGAACTGCTTCCACGGTGAGCGGAGGCGTGTTAGTGAGCGTGGGTCAAGGCGAGCTGACTGTTATTTAAGCAGTGGGAGGAGGAGGAGGAGGAGGCGGTGACGGGCCTGGCTGAGGAGGGCTGTCTCCATGGTGCTCGCTCCCTCTGGCCCGGCCTCTCATCCTCTGCAGCACTCACACCCCATCCCAGTCCCACCCTCGCCTCCCCCGACAACTCCTCCTCCTCCGCCGGCCCCACCCGCACCCGCACACACACACACAGGCACAGAGGGAGGTGTGCAATGGCCGCCCCTCGGTGCTGTGTGGGAGCTGAGCGTGTTTACGGGTCGGCCCTCTCCCGCTCTCTGACTGCACAGCTGCACTGCAGTACCCAAGTGTCACATACACCACCCGGGGGGGGGCGGGCTGGGGGGGGAGAGGAGGGAAGTCCCGCCTCCTCGCTACTACTATTGGCAGGTGTGGCACGCGCCTTCAGCTACCTGATTGGTCGGCCCGCGGCTTGATGGCCGGTTGCTGACGGGCGGCCCCGCCCACTCCGGCCGATCGTTAACGACTGCTCACGCGACGGCGCGCTCTTCGATCGCATCCTGAGGCCAGGGGGAGGGGGGCAGGGGAGGGCAGGGGGCAGGGCAAGGTGGGGGGCAGGGGGAGGGCAAGGTGGGGGGCAGGGGGGCAGGGGGGGCAAGGTGGGGGGCAGGGGGAGGGCAAGGTGGGGGGGAGGGCAAGGTGGGGGGGAGGGCAAGGTGGGGGGCAGGGGAGGGCAGGGGGGGGCAAGGTGGGGGGCAGGGGGAGGGCAAGGTGGGGGGCAGGGGAAGGCAAGGTGGGGGCAGGGGGAGGGCAAGGTGGGGGGCAGGGGGGCAAGGTGGAGGGCAAGGGGGGGGAGGGCAAGGTGGGGGGCAGGGGGGGGCAAGGTGGGGTGGGGGAGGGCAAGGTGGGGGGCGGGGGGGGCAAGGTGGGGGCGGGGGGGAGGGCAAGGTGGGGGGCGGGGGGGGGCAAGGTGGGGGCGGGGGGGAGGGCAAGGTGGGGGGCGGGGGGGGGGGCAAGGTGGGGGCGGGGGGGGAGGGCAAGGCGGGGGGGCAGGGAGAGAGGACCTCGGAGGGAGAGTTTTGCTTTGTTTTTATGGGGACCAGGTTGTAAGTAAATGAATAGGAATATGAACAGAAGTATGTCACACAAATATGGAATAATTGTTAGTTTATATGTGCAAGCGCCGTGGAGTCCTGTAACGTATTGGTTAGAGCACTTGCCTCATGAGCGAGAACCCTGAGTTTGTTTCCTGGCAAGGCAAAACATTAGGCAAATTTCCTTAATTTGGGACGTCCTCCTGACGTGAAAGGCGCTCTATAAATGGAATCTTGTTGTTGTTGTTGTTAATCCACACACCTCTTTATCCGGCAGTGGGTAGGAACCCGTTTGTTAGTTGATTGGAGGATCGCTTTCTGGAAGTAATGATCACTTCCAAATATAAAATGAAAGTAATAATTTGGTCACTTAATCCATGACTCTTTGTGGGACATTGCTGTAAGCAATTGACTGTCGTGTTTCTTCCACAAAATTTACAGTGAATTTACTCAGTATATTCGGTGAAGCACCTTGAGACATCTCAACGACATGATAAAGCACTGTATCAAATGCAAGGATTATTATGAAATGAGTAGAGTGAAAAGACGAAGAGCACAAGTACTGAAGCAATACAATTATAGAAACAGTTAAAACTGCCTAATCCTTCTTGTCTATATTGAAGACCATGATGATTGCTTGGAATTATCTCAGATAAAAGTTCAAATCCAGTTTCCTTAACTTTCCTGTTTTTTTGTCTGAAAGTTTTTGTCAATGTTTGTCTTGCTCCCACAAACTATTACTTTGGGACATTTTCCTGATGTGAAAGGAGTTATGCAAATTAAATTTGTTGTATTGTAGCATTGGAACAACAACAACAAATTGCATTTATATAGTGTCTTTCATGTCGAGATGACATCTCAAGGCACTGGAAGATCAAGATGCCAACACATTAATGGTCGAAAAGATAGTCAAAACTGTAAGCCTGATATTGTTTCCAACTCAACAGTGGGAGTAACTGTATACTTCCTGTTTTGTGCATATTCAGACAAAGGCCTTTCTCCAAGTACTCTAAATATCACCCCAAACATGAAAATTTGTCAGTCTGATGATAGCTCCCCAATTGTTTCTCTTCCTTCTGGCAAACATCTCTAGTCCTACAGTTTGTAATTCCACACAGTGATGCAGCTGAGATTGTTTAGTCAAAACCGTTGGGCAATCACAAGCACAAACTACCGCATACCTCTCTCTGACAGTGCATTAAGATTCCAAAGAACAACATCCCTTTGAAGCCCTTTATGTGAGCAAAATGCTATCTTACAAAGCTATGAATCTGTCAGCCAAGCTTAATGTTCAAACAATAGGTTTCCTAAATGTGTTTTTCAATTCAGCAGGAAGAATAGTTTTACAGTAATCATTTTGTTTGTATTGGCACAGTTGCTATATGGTAAATCATATAAGATTCAGAATGAAAAGTGGTTTTCTGATTAAATAAGCTATACATGAAAATAAGTGGCCAACCTAATTCACAAAGCTGAAGGCACATTTTTAGATGTTGCTTCACAATTTGCTTTACGAATTATAGGAAACCTAGTTGTGAAATAATCTCAGTCGGTTAAGCACTGGACTTGGGACCGACAGTTTTAGATCTGAAATCCATTGGTCCACTCAACCCTTCATAGTTTGGAGCATCATGCCTAAAAATACTCCAGGTGGGGTAGTGGAAAGCAAGATCAATCATTAAATGTTGAACAGGGAATCGCAGTTTAGAGATGCATCAACAGTGTACATTTGAAATGGGATTGCTTGTTATGCTGAACACATACCAGGAAATCTAATCAAGACATTGTACTTTTAACAAAATGTTTTCCTGTGTAATTTTTGCATGAGATATTGAAAGCTATGCAACTTCCTGGTAGATGTATTTTTGCGTTTAATTCTTGCTGGCATATACTATTGAGTATCAGATTATTTACAATACAACGCAAGATGACATTTGTATGTCTTACATAAGGTAACAGTGTTGGCTGAGCAAAATGATTGTATTATACTGGTCAGTTTTTAAGTCGAATAAGTCAGCCCTGGAAGTAATTTGGCTCAGCTGAAATTTATATGGGTTCCATAACTAAACAGAGGGTTGTTCAATTGGCTTCAAGTCCTTAAAATATATGGAAATTCCATTAAAATGGAATTAAAGAATTTTCCTCAATTTTGCATAGACTAATACTATATGGAATTTAAACAAATGATTAGGCCACAAGGTGACTGCCTATTTATAGTAGTGTTGTGATGAGGAAGTATAAGGTGAAGTGTCACCCCACCCCATCCATGACAGAACATTGGGAAGGTCATCCCCAGCAAGTCTCACCCTCACCTCACCTTCACCCTCACCTATAAATTCCTTCACTTCCGAGCATTTGACAATCCCCCTGCGTATTCCCTGCCCACTCTGCACCACCATTAATCGCCGAGCCTTCAGTCACTTCACCTCTGACTGCTAGAACTCCCTGCGTCTATCTCTCCACCTCCCACCTCTCAATCTTTAAATCCCACCTTGAAATCTACTTCTATTTTCCTATTGTCATCTCCCTCTCCCCTTCTCCTTTATCTTGATGTCTGACCAGGCCACTGTGAAGCACTGAGACGTTATCCTACACAAAGGGAGCTACATAAAAGCAAATTGTGGTTGTTGATGACAGTGACATGGCAGAAGCTTGAAATGGAGTCACCCGTTTCCCATTATAGTAGCACTCAACAAAAAGCAAGGGAAGAAAACAAATATTTTTGTGTAATAGTGATACCTTTTTTTTCTACACTCCAATTCTCTCCTTTTGCACTTCTGGTATATATTTCCGTGGCTTCTGGCAGTCCTTCCAATAGGTTCTGCCAGTTTTCATAATCAAAGCTAAATAATGACTATTGTCAGGCAATTGGATCATGAGGTGAAAGTGTGAGTGTACAGGGGACATCTTAACAGCCAAGCGCTCAGACTTTCCAGGAGGGATAACATGTAAAATATAATAATAATCCTTGCATTTGATATAGCGCTTTTCACGTCTTCTCGACGTCCCAAAGCGTTTCACAGAATATATTGTAAAGTGAATTGACTGTATATTTGTGGGCGAACGCGGCAGCCAATTGCGCACAGCAGTGTCCCACAAACAGTCATGGATTGAAAATGACCAATTTATTATTGTTTTGTTTTTTGGAGGGATTATTATTAGGCTCTGTGTGGAGTAAGGAAACTTGCCCAAGGGTTCGCCCTGCCTGGAATTGAACTCAGGTCTCTCACTTGCAAAGCAAGTGCTCTAACCACTGAGCTACAGGACTCAGCAATTCAACAAAAATGTAAGGTTTCTAATAGAAATGTAAAATTCCTTGAACAATATTCCAAAATTGTTCTACACGTGGGCCTGAAGACCTTCCTCTTCCTCTGTCTACAGTCACCTCCCCCCTTCCCCTGGCTCGGTGTCATGCTCTGGCACTTCTTGTGCTCTGGGACTCTACTCTGCATGAGGGACGCTATATAAATGCAAGTTGTTGTCCTTGTAAATTATGATGCCTTTACAAATTGATCACAGATGATATGTTAACATTTATAAATTCAGAATTTCTACATTTGTTTCTTCACAGATATTTCATCTACAGCCCAAGGCATAGACCATCACCTGAAGGCAAAGACTCAGACAATTCTATGTATCCATATAATTTTAATGATCAGCATAATTCAGTTAATAGCACTCTCGTCTTTAAAATGTTGTGGGTTCCAGACTCACATCA